GTAGAAAAATCTGAGCTGAGAGCTCACTAATACCATTATGAAAAGGATTACATTGGAGATAATTTCACGTTCTCTGTTATCAACTATAAACCTTGATTGTCTACTCACGAAGAGCTTTCTTTGCTTGTAGAATTTCAGGTGGTTAAATGAAAGTCCAGCGTCATTTTGGCAAGCAGGCACCCACCTAGATTGGTAGCGAGCCTACAGAGATCATGCATTTTTTAGCCTGTTTCTCTTCCCTAGAAAGGAAGGGTTCACGACATGGGCACCTAGGTTAGCCCTGTGAGGTAAGATTCATCACGCAGAAACCTGATGATGGAAACAGTTGATTCAGCCCCAAAACACCGACTTTTTGCTGTTACATCATAACTAACCTCTGAAACTGGAAATAGAACATCTTTTGGGAGTTGATTTCAAGAACACAGCTCCCCTACAGTTCCCCTTCAGCTCATTTCTCCATCTCTTTACTTCACCTTGGTCCAGGAGTCAGAAAAGCACCATACAGTGATGGTGGAGAAAAAATACTTGTCAAATTGTTGAGTCTAAAAATCAGTGAAACATCATTAATATAATCATGAAGGTCAAGTCCCCTATATTTCAGCAGATAGTTCATAGCTCTTCATGTCTGAAGAATATTCTACATAGTGTAGATTATTTAGAGGAGGGTCTTGTTGATAAGAGGAGGACTATAGGTTAGAGGTAAAGTGATAGAGAATATGAGTGAAGAGAAAATGAGTTAGGAGTCAAGACTATGGAAGGAGAGGGTGAGGGCTTCCTATATCTCAAGGGACATTTTTCTAGATTAGGAAGGGAATTGGAAGCCTCACATCATCCACAGAATAGTCATCTCCTTTAGGGTGTGGATGATGCTTGCATAGGCAGATGACTGAGAACAGAGAAGTTCGATGTGTTGGTGACATGGTGGGTACATGGAGTATGCACACAGTCATAAAATTCATCAAGCAACACACTTAATATTAATAAATTGTGCTTATGTAAATTACACCTCAGTAAAAAACTGAATGAAACTCTTTTGTTTTTCTTCTTCTTCCTATTAACCTAGTTTCTTTGAAATATGTTCTTTGAAAGGCATTATATGCACAATTACTTCTTGTCATTTTCTTAAATATCAGTTCATGATTAATTTTGTGGTTCTGTGAGGCCCTTATAAACTCAGTCTCAGCTCTTTGTGATCATTTTGACTTAATTTCACCTAAGTCAGTTTGATATGATAATAGCTCATAATTACTAAGCATTTATAATATCCCAGGCACTCTGGTTACGTGCACACGCATTCCATTCCCATAACAGCCTTATGAGTTCAGTACGATAAATATGTGCACTTAAGGAAAAAACTGAAGTTTGGTGAGGTTGAGCAGCCAAAATGTGGCAGTATTGTAAAAAGTGACAACAATTTAGGTCTATTATCAAGTCGCCTTCTTAAGCTTTCCAGAATGTTCCATGCCCCAGCAACTTCCAAATTCTTATGTAAAAGCACATCTTTGTTTGCTACTTAGGAATAAAAACTTTTGGGGGGAATATTAATTCTAAATATTTACCATATCTCAGAGACCACAAGGCATCCAGTGAAAAATAATGTGTAATTAATTATGTCAAAATCATAAAAGTTTAGCAGAAGGCCCATTGTTTCTCATTCTGTCTTCTGGCTGTTTTTTAATTCACATAAGATTTCTAGCTTATTTTGTTCTTTTAAGCATAGACAGTTTTAAATACTTGAACTATCTTTCAAAAATGCAAAATATATATCCCTCACTTTACCATATATTAGTATTTTCTTGATCCTAGGACACTATTAAACATATTAGACTCTTAAACTTACAATGGCTTAACTTGATACCGAGTTCTATTATTTTTCATTGTTTTTCTGTATTATTTTTTAAGAGATTTATTTTATTTACTTATGCATACAAGAGCTGGGGTACAGAGGGGTGTGTGTGTGAGAGGATTCACCAGAGACAGAGGAGGAGCGGAACAGGCAGATCTACTGAAATACGCTGCTGAGGGGAGCATTGGGTGAGATAGGAGAGGTCTGTTATGCCGTGTGAGTAGCTCCATGGCCGGGGACCAAACTCATGCTGCACTATGCAATAGCGTCATAGTGCTGATACTTAACCCCTGGCACTACCAGGGAGGCTCCCTGTATTATTTTAATATAGTCCCAAATTGTTCAATTGTCAGTCTTTACTGTGCTTTCTGACTTTTTAAATGTATTTCATTTGTGTGTATGTGGGTGTGTCTATTTTACGATTTTTTATCCCTTCATCTGTCAGTGGACTTAGGTTGTTTCTGTGTCATGACTCTTGCAAATAATGCTTTAATAAACGTGGGGGTGAATATATCTCTTTGACATACTGACTTCATTTCCTTTGGAAATACACCAGGTTGTTCTATCTTCAATTTTTTGAGGAACTTCCATTCCTTTTCCATAGTGACTGTATCAATTTACAGTGCCTCCAACAGTGCATAAGGTTTCTTTCCTATTTATCCCTGCCAGCATTTGTTATTTCTTGTGTTCTTTTTTCATATATATATAATTAGTAATTATAACAAGTATGAGGTGATATCTCATTGCAGTTTGAGTTGAACTTCCCTAGAGATTAGTGACATTGATTTCCTTTTCTTGTACCTGTTGGCAATTTAAATATCTATTTTGGAAAAATATCTATTCATGTCTTTTGTGCATTTTTAATCGGATTATGTTGTTGTTGGGTTGTATGAATTCCTTATATAGCCTGGTTGTGAGACCCTTATACATGATTTGTAAATATTTTCTCTTCCTTTGTAGGTTGTCTTTTAATTTAGTTGTTTGTTCCTTTTGTGATAGGCATTCCCATATCTGCATTTTATCTCCTGTAACATTGACTTTTTTTCATAGTTGCTCTTAAGCCATTTTATTGAATTTGCTGCTTCAAAACTCCTTTGTGCTACAGAAAACATTAGTAGAAAAATAATAGATCCAAAAAGCAGACAATCAGCCTTTTAGAATAGTTTCAAAATATTAGAACAAATAAGCAATATGGAAGAAACTGCTAAGTTCTCCTATTTTAAAAAATAAGTGTAGAATTTTTTTTTTTGGTCCTATCTCCTTTTTAAGTAGGTTTGTAAATTTTGATATATTTTTGAAGGTATATATGTTTTCTCCTATGCATCCTACATTTTAGTTGTTATTGCCTAGATCAGTAATATCCAGACAAATGTTTTATTGTGACTAAAAAAATGTTACTTGCTCAGGAGCAAACTGGTGATTTGTGTCAACTCCTTGTTAAACATTTTAAATCTCCAAGAGGCCATGCTAGAAAATATTCTTCTAGAGTGGTCTCCATGCAATAGAATTCCAAGTAGAGACTGCTCAGGATACAAAAGTGAACAGAAATAAGATGAGGTGATAAAAATGTAGACATGTATATATATGTGTATGTGTGTATATATATATATATATATATAGATATATAAATGGAAAGAAATATACATATAAATGATGGGAGTATATATTTAGATATATTATTAGATTATGGGGGTTTTGTACTTATTCAGGATTGCATAATAATATTTTATTTCATTAATATAATGAAATGCTTATTTTATCATTCTTAAAACATAATTTTGGTTCAATTTTAATCATATATCTCAAATTACATTTTTCTGTTTTGAAGAGTGAACTATGGGGTCAAGGAAGGCAAGACTTCAGTAGTTGAGTCTGTCCCAGCAATCAACAACAAACTCTAAGTTATCTCAATAATATCCTAAATAAATGAAATCCCCAAATATTCTTTCCATTATGATAGTTTCTCTGGGTCCTTTTAATGACATTAAAATAGATGTGGATTTTTTGTAGATGCCAGTGAAATTCTAAAATTGAACCTTGTGGGTGGGAAAATTGGAAAGCAGTGTTCAAAGATATGGTTAGTGATAGATTTAGATTTTTAATAATGAACTTAATGTAGTATGTACATATGTTGATTCTCAACGTGAACACCTGCAACTTACATAGTGTTACAATACAGTGTTACTTCAATTTAAAAAATAAATATAATTGACTCTTATGAAAAAAAGGGTAAGTTTAAGCCCATTATGGGTTCCATCCACTTTTCCTAATGCCATCTACCTCCAGAGACAAGTATAAGACAGACACTTTTGACTACAACAAATATACTCAACCATATCTATGGGGCAGAACACAACTCTTTCAACAATACTAAACTAGCCATTGGTGAATATGAAATAAAAAGAAAAAAAGATTCATCTAGAGGAGCAGAGAACCACTTGTTCCACATTGTATAAAAAATAAGAAAATTTAAATAAAAGCTCTTAGTTTTAGCCATAGCTACAGCTCACTGGCCTATTATGGCACAGAAACAAACAATGAAATAGAAAATATATTTCAAGTTAAATGCACTATAAATAGACGTACGACAACTGTTTTAGGTATTGAAGGATTTGGAGCTCTAAAAGAAAAGACAGGCCCTGTAATATCTCGCCCTGATAGGTCCAAAAAAAAAAGGGAAATTGAAAATTTCAAAATAATTTCACTGTCCTCCCTTGCTGGAAGGTTTGCAATCTGGAATAATGAGTGTGCAGGGAAAAAAATGTGTTTAACTTTCTTTAAAATTTTTAAATTTATAGATAACTTTTTCTCCTTATTGTTCTATAAATGTGACTGACTCATTTTGTCAAACTTGCTGTGCCTTTTCATCTGCTGCCTGACTAGCCTACAAAGCAAGTAACAGGCCTAAGTCCATCCTTCTCTTTTTCTAAGACCAAAAAAAAAAAAAAAAGGGAAAAAGCAGTTACCAAATGTATACACAGTGAATAAAGTCTACCCATTTTTCTTGGTGAACTAGGGAAGAAAATAAGGTCCTGTTTGCCTTGGTCTTATTTCTAAGTCTCTCTCGTCAGTCCTTTGCCTTCCACAGCAACTGTTCTAAATTTCCAAGGCATATGTTTGATTTCGTTACACCCTGAGTGAATAAATCAGGGCTCTAAAGTTTTTGATGGATTTTTTAGGGTGCTAAGAATATTTCACTATTAATGTGTTTATGCCCTTGGATTGTCAAATTTTTGTTATTGCTTTTATTTTTCTACAGAAATATTATGAATATTCCTTTTTGCCCTCAGGCATTGTGGCACCCGAGCAAGCCAGCCAAGAGCCTGTGCTATAAGTTTTTCCACATTCATTAAAATGTACTTATCCATGACACTTTAATCATCCCCGTCAGCTCTCCCTCATGGTGCACTCTTGATCCCAGGGTGTTTTGCAGACCATTATTAATTCTTGCAGTGCTTCAGAGGGGTAGCTACGTGGGTGTGACTGGTCGTATTTTCATACAGGCTAACTGTGGGGATCTTCCATCTGGATAACAAAGTGAAATTGGGACCCATTATGTCCACTGGTTAAATGAAGAAAATGAGACCAGAGTTTAAGTGGTAATCCAAGGGGAGGAGAAGCATCTGCAGAAAGAAAGAAAAACCTTCTTTTAATTTCAGCTCCAGTTCTGGATCTTTTGTATGTGCCCTGTTGCCAACCTCTCTCTTGGCTCAGAAAACAAATGGCATCAGAAAGTTTGTAGTGGTGTGGTGTGATAACACAGCTGAAGCCGTGTGAAACTTTTCCCCAAAATCCTATACGGTATTATAAGCCAATGTTACTTCCATTAAAAAAAAAAAAAATCTACAAAATTAAATATTTTAAAATAAGAAGATACAATTTTTGTAAAAACAAACTTTCTCTAAGAATTGTAAGAAGTGATCAAAGGAAAGAAAACATCTTTTAATACTCACGCCATGATTTACGCTTCCTAAAGTTAGCACTGGGGAATTGGGGGGGCATCTATTCAGAAAGGGCCTTTCACCACCTTATTGATTTTGTTCTGAGGAAATACGTCAATTATAGGAATTCCTAGAGGAAATGCCGTCCTTTTCTTTGAATATCTAAATAGTACCTTGAACAAGCTTGATGCTACATAGATAAGCAACACACAACTCCATCTTGCTAACCTTTTTACAGAAAGTTCTCCCCCTCATGTGGCTGAAAAATTGTCTCCTCTGTGACTTTCCTACTCACTCTTCTAAGTCTCAAAACACTCTCCTTTGGAAATGTTAACTGTGTCATCTAAGATGTCAGCAAACATTTCAGACTTCACCAAAAGTTTCTCCCCATTGTGGAATGGGGGACAGTGGCCAACAGGTCACATGTCTTTGGGGAGAGGGATGTGGTCCATTGCTTTCCAATCCCACTCAGCTCCCACCCATCAGGCCCCCTAGTTTCAAGGTGCTCCCCCTGGGCTGAAGGCAGCAGCAGGAAAGAGAAGAGTGTAGAAATGTTCTGGTTTGGTTTCTGATGGGTACAGCAGGTACCTGAATAATGGCACTTAATTCAGCACTTTTTTGTTCTAATGTTGATGAGGAAAACAAAATCGGTTTCTGGCTCAGGCCGCTGTCTGTGGAGAGTCTGTCTGTGGTCCCCAAGTCTGCATGGTTTTTCTCTGGAAAAAGATGTGTGAACCTTTTCCTTAAATCCTGTACTGTATTATAAGCCAATATTACTTCAATCAAAAAAAAAATACAAAATTAAATATTAAATACTCCAGTTCTTCCCACATCCCAAAGATGCACATGCTAGGTTACCGGAGTATCTACATGACCACAGTCTGAATGAGTGTTGAGTGTGGCTGCTCCCTGCAAGGGTGGACTTCTGGCTGGGGGTGGGGGTCCTGCCTTGCACCCTGAGCTGCGGAGATGGACTCTGACAACCTGCAGCCCTGGATAAAGAAGGTGGGAAAATGAATGTATGAATGAATGGATACAAGTTATTTCTTAACACTTAATATTAGAAGTGTTTGGGGTCTTTATTTAGAAGTGTAGCAATGCTTTTGTGGCCAGGCATGTGTTGCAGAAACTAACTCTCGATTATTTCAATTAGCCTATGGTAAAAATTGGTTTCATTATATGTTATTTTGCTTTGAGTCACAATCTCTGGAGATTAACTGAGGACCTACTGTGTGCCCTTAGCAGGCTTCCAGCCCTCTGCTGTGTCCCTGAAAGATGGAGCCTCTTCTTTCTTCTGCTGGCTGGTGATTAGGCACTCCATCTGTAGCAGACAAATACATACATGAGTTATGTTCCTCACTTTTTTTTTTTTTGAGAGCTTATAAAATATAAAAGATGGAACTCTTGTAAAACCAATGGTCAAATTAACTGCTTGAGATTTCAAGCCAAATGAAAATATCTGATCCAAATGTAATATGGGAACTCAATTTAAGATTCCATCCAGACTTTTTAATTCAGTGGAAATCGATATTTACACTTGGGTCTCCTGAAGGACTGGTGTTTCACTTGTTTCTTAGTAGAGAAAAGAATGTGTGTTTATTAGGAATTTTGAAACACAACATTCAAGGGCCTTGATCTTAAATAGATTGATCCCGAAAAGGCAATTAGTTTTACAGTATCATGATATTGTTGTCAGAGGCAAGATAGGTCTCAGTTTGGGTATATGACTTGACCACACTTCACCAGGCTCATGGCATTTTAATAACTTGAACTTAAAATATTAAAAGATCAAATTATATTTCTCAGTACCATGTGGTGTTAGAACTTCCCTTAGGGAATAATATAAGAAGCAAATTCTTCACTAGTAGCAGAAGGGAAAAATAAAGGTCAAGATTTATGGAACAGCGCTCAAGGCCCTCTGACCATTTTTCTTTGTAGGCAGGCTTCGTATAGCACTTTTGCTAGCTGATTTGCTTCTGGAAAAAACTGTCTTATTTTTCTTATAAAATCGAATCAGAATTCTTGTTAAAGGGTTTCTTTTATGTTCTGTGGCTTGCATGAGGCAAAATTGATGAAACAATCTTTGAAATCATGAACTGGTGAATTGATTGACATAATCTCTATCTGTTTACATAAAATATGTTATTGGTATTCTTCCCAGGAATTTTTATGATGTGGAGTTCCTGTTGAGGGTACATTGGTGGGAGAGAGCTCATTTGCACAGAAAAATTTGATCAAATGTGAGAATATCTTTTAAGAACAGTCAAAATTATTAAGACTGTTGACTTTAATTTCAATTAAAGAAGAAAAATAAAAATCTTTGGTGCTAGTGCAACTTAGTGTAGCTGAGTGTCCTTTAGTAACCTTTCTAAAGGCTCAAAATCAAGTAATTAATGTTACTGTCCAATAAATACCTTTCATTATCACAGATAGTTTCAAATTTCTCACCCCACTGGACTTTAACAGTCCTAAAGCAGTTAGGAGGAATTTGAGTTACCATTAAAAATGAGTAAAGGAAATTAAGGTCCACCCTTCCATTAATAATTACTCACATCTGGTAGGAAATTGATCTTCCTTGCTGAATGTGGGTTAGGTCAGCAGTAGAACAGGGCACTGGATAAATAATTGGTCTGAACCAATCGCAATTTCTAGGTTGCTGAACTAAATCTTCTATTTGAAAAGCACTGACCTGCTCATATTCATAGAAGCAAATGTACCCTTTAATGGATACATATGAGCAGAAAATGTTGTAATCGATTACTCCATTTCTATATTTCTGTAACATTTTGATAATGTTTTACTCGTTTTATATCTTACCAATTAGAAATATTTTTGATGTTGAATATTCATTTTGTACACCTATGATTTTGTCTGATACTTTAAATCCACTTAGTAGACTGAGAATATGAACTAGAATGAGGAATAAAAGAAAATAGTGATATTCATAATACCTCCTCCATGGAATCTCTGTAAATGGAAATCTTTTATTTAAATTACTATATCTTTTTTGTTGAAAAATTGCTAAAATTACCTCATTTCCCAGGCCCACATATCTGAGTTCACCTGATGTTTCTTTGGCTCTGTCCTTCACCTCCTGAACCAGTCTCAACGGAGACAGGAAGCTCTTAAGCATCTTTAGGCCTCTTTGTGACCCCAGCTCAGTGATCCCCAACTCTGGCTCTATATTAGCACCACCAGGGTGATTACAGAAACATAATATTTGGAGCTCATCCCCAGGGATTCAGATTTAATTGATGTGGGTAAGGACCAGACATCAGTATTGTTTGTGATTTAATTCTAATCTAATTTAAACACATAGTTGAGAAGCTCAACCTTCCCCCTAAGGCAAAATAGACTGGTTCTCATATTCTTTACCAAGTCAGGTGCCTTCTGGGGCCATTCAGCCCTATAACTCAAGGAACCACATCTGAGTCCTTGCAAGCTTCCAATCTTGAAATGTATTTCCATACTTCCATTTGGGAACACTTCCATTTTCTTTCCTGAGTTGTCATCTCTGATATTGTCTCATTCTAATGCCAAGATTCTTGCCCACAAAACTGAAGCTCAGAGGGATCAGGCGAGATGGTATTAATGGCAGAAATTGAACTGAAAGCTTGATGTACAGTCTATAACCTGCACTCTGAATCGCACATAGCACCATGCATCAGTCAGGACTGCTGTGTCGCAGAAACAGATTAAACCCTGAAATCTCAGTGGCTTAATCCTACACCTTTCTATTGCTTGATCACAGCAGCATCTCACCTGTGGCCAACATCCCCCTTCAAGCCCCTTCCATAAGGTGGGCTTGCCATTCAGCATCTTGTGCTGCCAGTCACATACACAGGCTACAGCAGTAAAAGGGACTGAGGAAGAAACACCCACTCTTAACTGCACTTGACAGGAAATGACACATCACTTCCTTTATTTTAACTCTGTTGGGCAGAATTAATCATGCAGCCCCTCCCTGCAAGATGTATGGAATCTTCATGGGAAATGTCGAGGCAGGGGTGGTCATTACTGTCTCTGCAGCAACCCTGCTGCCAGCATTACCTGCCTAAATGGATGTGGGTAACTGAGATTGTCACCTCCTCTATGCCCTGTTGCTGTTTTTCTCCCTCATAAGATCTGCCCCTTTCTGCTTAACCTGCATGAGTTTGCTCAGAAGAATCCTTAATCTTTTTTTTTTTTTAATTTTATATATTTTTACATCATTTTTCATTTTTGCACAATGTATGCATTTTCATCTTGTTTGAATTGTATGGGGAATATAACCAAGAATCTTTAATCTATCTCACTGTATAAGCCACAGAATCTTTGTTGGTCTGCGTGCCTTTCCATAGGCAACAAATGTTACCTAACTAACTGTAAGTTAGTTTGCCTTCTTCCGCCCAACTACACAGCTTCTGATGCTAATTTTCTTGTCTCCATAGGAGAGCTGATATTTCTCAGTCTACCCCTTCTCCCTTTGCCTGTCCTAGTAGATGGAACAGGGCAAAGTCTGACTGACTTCTGAGACATACAACAGCGAAAACAACTGTGTAAGACACTCTGGTAATTCGAACCAGGCAAGGGCAGTGAAAACATCAATGGCCTGGCGCTGAGAATAAACAGCCTTACAGTCTATCAGAATTTCAGAGAATACAGTGAAACATTCAAGCACCTTACTGCTCCTAAAAACACACAGAAGCCGCTTGATCTTCTAAATCTTGAATTATCTTTTAAAAGATCATGTAGCTGTGAGTACCAAATTCTACCTAGCGGTATCTTGTTGACCATGTCATTTTTTTTAAAGGTTTATTTATTTATGCATATAAGAACTGGGGTACAGACCAGAGGCATGGTGGGGAGGGGGGAGATTCACCAGAGACAGAGTAGGGAACAGAACAGGCAGAATGACCAAAATATACTGCTGAGGGGAGCAGCGGGAGAGTCCGGAGAGGTCTGCTGTGCCATGTGGGTAGCTCCCTGGCCGGCAGGGGACCGAACTCGTGCTGCAGTGGATGTGGGTAGCTTTATAGGTTGTGTCCCAACCCCTTGCACCACCAGGGAGGCCCCTGACCATGTCATTTTAAGGAACTGCTACCTAATCTAGTCTCAGGAGCAGAGGTTACGCACCAAGCAGTTAGCAAAGTGTAGCGGAAAGAGCTTGGACCTTGGGGTGAAAGAGGGTGGATTTAAATCCTTCCTCTGAGCTTATCCACTGTCCAGTTCTGGACAACTAAACTCTCCACACCTCAGATTCTGGTCTATAAGGGGGACATTCTAAAGCTGGCCTAATAGATGTGTCAATAATAATTTTTAAAAATCATGTGATTTTTATTTTTTAATTAAAAATTTTAATTTTAATAATTTTTTAGAAATCATGTCAGATATCTCCCACACTGTTAAGTTATGGCAGGTCCACTTTCCTAAGATATTTGAGACTATTTTGGATAGTAGAAATACTGAATTAAGAGCTGACTCAATGATATGAATGCATACATACAGTTATAATTACTTACATAAAATATTTAGTACTAGCTTGATGGTTATTACATCTGCACAGACTCAAGATTGTTGCTTCTATCAACAGTAAAGATCAAGAATTACTGAAAAGACATTCTCTATCAGAATTGATGTTAGGGGACAGATTGTTTGAATAAATACAGCTTAAATTACAATTAGCCAATATTCAAAGAATTTTGTTCTTCTTGAACTGTAATTAATTATCACACTGAAATTTAACCATCTTTTAATCTTATTTCAGTGTTCATTAGGCTGGGATTTCTATCTCAGCTTTGCTTTCCTTTCTCAATCTGCAAAGCTGTATTATTAAAGTGGAATTTCTGCTAATTAGTCACAGTACTGGGGAGCTGGAGTGGACCCCGGGCATCATCTGATCCAATTAGATTTTAACTGTACAAAGTTCTGGATGAGAAGATCAGACCACACGAAGTAATCTAAGAATAACTCAAAGACTATTATTCCTAACTTATGTTTTACAGAGGTTTAAGGACATTATTTTCAGAGAAGGATAATTAAGAGTTCATTCATTGATTATACAAACAAAGCAAGCCTCCTATCAATGCATGCTCATTATCCCAAAAGTTTATGAAATACAATATTAAAGAGTAGATATGCCTTTATAAAAATACCGTTCCTTGGAAAACATACTGGGTTCAAGTCAGACAAACAGGCAACAAGGATAAGCAAAGTTTATTTCCTGCCCTCTCTATGGCACTTTCTTGACCTGAAATTTCCTTTCTTTCCTATGAAGAGTCAGAGCTTTTCCTCTATAGAGGTTCATTCTTTAGCAGAGGTAAGAGGTCTAGTAAACTAAAT